TTAAACTGAAAACTTAAAAACCAAGAAAATAAAAATTGAAAACTTTTAAATACCGAAAATTAAATACAGAAAACTTAAATGTTATTGGGTTGCCTCCCACAAGCGCTTGTTTTACGTCACGAGCTTGACGTACCTCTTTTACGTCTCTGCAAGAGCAACGGTGGTCGTTCCTCTGTCAATTTCACCTCCAAGGTATGGTTTTAATCGCTGCCCATTCACCTTGAAGCTTCTGTCGGAGTCAAGTGGACTAATTTCCATTGTACCATATGGACGTATTTCTTTCACCATAAACGGTCCTGACCATCTAGACTTGAGCTTTCCCGGAAAGAGTCTCAACCGGGAATTGTACAGCAGAACTTGCTGTCCAACCTTGAAGTCTCTGCCTAGTATTTTTCTGTCATGTCACTTCTTGGTTTTCTCTTTGTAGAGGCTTGCACCCTCATAAGTGGACAATCTGAATTCATCTAACTCATCCAGTTGTAACAATCGCTTTTCACTTGCCGTTTTTGTATCAAAGTTTAAGAATTTGACAGCCCACAAAGCCTTGTGTTCCATCTCCACCGGCAAGTGACAAGCTTTCCCAAATAGCATTTGAAACGGCGACATTCCTATCGGTGTCTTGAACGTTGTCCGGTATGCCCACAGTGCATCATCTAGCTTGCGAGCCCAGTCTTTCCGAGAACTTCCCACTGTTTTCTCAAGGATACGCTTCAGTTCCCGGTTTGATATCTCCACTTACCCACTAGTTTCTCGATGATATAGTGTGGCAATGCGGTGTCTGACGCTGTACTTTGCAAGCACACATTCAACTTTCCTGTTACAGAAGTGTGTGCCTCCATCACTGATCATTGCTCTCGAAACTCCATATCTTACGAAAATGTTCTTCTTGATGAAATTGATCACAACTCTAGAATCATTGGTAGGCAAAGTAGCTTCTTCCACCCATTTAGAGACATAATCCACTGCCACTAATATGTATTTGTTCCCATGAGAAGTGGGGAAAGTCCCCATGAAGTCAATGCCCCAAACATCGAAGATTTGAACTTCCATGAAGTTGTTTAGTGGCATTTCATGTCTCCTTGATATGTTCCCCGTTCTTTGGCAGCGGTCACAAGATTCTACAAATTTCCTTGCATCTTTGTAAAGAGTGGGCTAATAGAATCCACTCATGAGGACTTTTGCAGCTGTTCTTTCTCCTGCGAAGTGGCCTCCATAATCTGAACCATGACAGTGCCATAGGACATCTTACATCTCTTGTTTCGGGATGCACCTTCTAATGACTCCATCAGAACATGTATAGAACAAGAACGGCTCATCCCACAAGTACCTTTTCACATCCCGCAGAAACTTTTTCCGTTGTTTCCATGAAAACTCCTTTGGAATTGTACCAACCGCTTTGAAATTTGCAAAGTCCGCAAACCATGGTGGAGTGTCAACTATAAGAGCTTGATCTTTTAAAAACCTTGGCAGTGTGATGACTGAGAGGACTTGTTCATCCGGAAACTCATCTCTGATTATCAACTCTGAACTATCTTGAAGTTCCGTTTCTTGCAATCTTGAGAGATGATCCGCTACCCGATTCTCTACTCCCTTTTTATCTCTGATTTCTATCTCAAATTCTTGAAGTAGAAGCATCCACCTAAGGAGTCTCGATTTAGCATCCTGTTTAGTCAATAAATATTTTAAGGCAGCTTGATCAGTATGTACAATGACCTTAGACCCTAGCAGGTAAGGTCTAAATTTATCAAAAGCATATATAACAGCTAGCAATTCTTTTTCAGTAGTAGTGTAATTCATTTATGCTTCATTTAGAATCTTACTAACATAATATATAACATGCAATAATTTATCTTTCCTTTGACCTAAGACTGCACCTATGGCATAATCACTAGCATCATACATCAATTCAAAAGGCAATTCAAAATTAGGTGCAGTGATAATAGGTGCTGTAGTCAACTTTTCTTTCAAAAGATTAAAAGAAATCAAACACTCATTGTTGAAGTTGAACTCTTCTTCCTTAGCTAATAGCTTGCATAGAGGCTTGGCTATCTTCGAGAAATCCTTGATGAAGCACCGATAGAAACCTGCATGTCCAAGAAAACTACGCACACCACGCACATTAGAGGGAGGGGGAAGTTTTTCTATAAGTAATATCTTTGCTCTATCAACTTCTATTCCCTTCTCAGAAATCTTATGGCCTAAGACTATTCCATCTCTTACCATAAAATGGAATTTTTCCCAGTTGAGTACTAAATTACTCTCCTGGCATCTCTTCAAAACACAAGCTAGATTAGTCAAGCATATATCAAAAGATGAACTGAAGACAGAAAAATCATCCATAAAAATTTCAATAAAATTTTCAATCATATCAGAGAAAATGGATAGCATACACCTTTGAAATGTGGCGGGTGCATTGCACAACCGAAAAGCATATGTCTGTAAGCAAACACACCGTAAGGGCAGGTGAAAGCTGTCTTCTCTTGATCTTCTGGAGCAACTGCTATCTGATTGTATCCGGAATAGCCATCAAGGAAACAATAAAATGAATGTCGCGCTAGTCTCTCCAACATTTGATCTAAGAATGGTAGAGGGAAATGATCTTTTCTTGTAGCGGCATTAAGTCTCCTGTAGTAGACGCACATTCTCCAGCCGGTAATAGTTCTTGTAGGAATCAATTCATTGTTTTCATTACGTACCACTGTGATCCCTCCTTTCTTTGGAACTGTTTGTACCGGACTCACCCATGCACTGTCAGAAATTGGATAGATCATACCAGCATCCAAGAGCTTCACGACTTCTTTTCTCACCACTTCTTTCATAGTCGGATTAAGTCTTCTCTGTGGTTGTCTGACTGGCTTCACATCATTCTCCATCAATATTTTATGAGTGCAAAAAGATGGGTTTATTCCTTTCAAGTCTGTAATAGACCATCCTATAGCTGTTCTGTGCTCTCTCAACACTTTCAACAATTTTTCTTCTTCAGTGGTTGACAAATTCACATTGATGATCACCAGGTATGTCTTGCTTTCCCCAAAAAATACATATTTCAAAGTAGGAGGAAGCTATTTCAGTTTAACCTTTGGTGCTCCTTGAACGACATCATCAACCTTCTTTTCTAGTTTTTCAACCGGTTGTTCTCCTTCTGTTGCTTCAGTTGTATTTTGCAATAGTTCTTCTTCTAATGACTCCAATTCCATTAGTGGTTGGAGTATTTCATCAACTATTTCTAACACTGCATCATTGATCACATCAATCTTGAAGAAATCTCCTCTATCAGATGGATGTTTCATAGATTCAAGAACATCAATTGTCACGGTTTCTTCATTAACTCGTAACATCAGCTTGCCTTGCTCAACATCAATCATAGCCCTTGTAGTGGCTAAGAAGGGTCTTCCCAATAGTAAGGGGATTTCAGCATCCTCTTCCATGTCTAAGATAACGAAATCAACAAGGAAGATGAATTTATCAATCTTTACCAAGACATCTTCAATAACTCCACCTGGCCTTCTGATAGATCTGTCGGCTAACTGTAGTGAGACTTTAGTCGGCTTCAATTCATGAATTCCCAGAGCTTGCAAATGGATAATGGCATAAGGTTGATACTAGCTCCCAAGACACATAACGCCTTTCCCACATCAATGTTGCCAATTTCTATGGAAATGCTAAAACTTCCAGGATCCTTAAGTTTTGGAGGCAACTTCTTCTGAATTATAGCACTGCACTCTTCTGTCAAAGTTACTGTTTCACATTCTTTCAGTTTACGCTTTCTTGATAAGAGATCTTTCATGAACTTTGCGTAATTTGGCATGTTCTCCAAGGCTTCAGCAAATGGAATGTTAATCTGCAGCTTCTTGAAAATGTCAAGGAACTTGGAGTACTGCTCTTTTTTGATTTCTTCGTTGAACCTCTATGGATATGGAATCTTTGCATAAGGTGAGAGCTCCAATGGCTTTTCTTGCCTTTCTTGAGCCTTCTTTTTCTCCCATTTGAACTCTTTCTTTTCAGGAACAACTTTCTCTGCAACAGATTCTTGGGCAACCTCCTTTTCTTTCTCAGTTGCATGTTTATCAGCTTTCTTTTTCTCTACTGAGGGCTTGATCACAGGTTCAATCACAATCCCACTTCTGGTAACGATAGACTTACAATGCGCATTTGGGTTAGTGTCTGTATTACCCGGAAAAGTGCCATGGGTTCTTTCAGTGAACTGTTTTGATAGCTGACCGATCTGAGTTTCAAGATTCCGAATGGAGGCTTCTTGATTCCAGAATAAGGCCCTTGTCTCTTGCATAGAGACTGAAGTATCTTCTCTGAAAGCATTGGAATTCTAAATATAATCTGATGTGGTCTTGGACAACTGTGCAAAGGCCTTCTCCCACTCTGATGTGTTTCCTTGTTGAGGAGGCTGCTGTTGCACTGGTATAGGAGGATTCAACTGATGGTTCGACTTGTAACTAAATCCCGGGTGTTGAGTTTGATTCTTCCATCCTTGATTTTGGTTATTCCCGTATTGGTTCCTTCCTGGATCATATGGAACCTTTTGATCATGCCAGATTCCATTAACTTCAGCATTCTCAGTTGTCTTCATGAAATCACAATCTTCAGTAGCATGAGCACCTGGACATAAACCACAAGTAACAGAAGGAGTATTAACAGAAGAAACTTGAGTGTTAACCGAAGAAACTTGAGTGTTAACAGAAGAAACTTGAAACTCTGTGAACTGTTTTGTGAGAGCATCTAGCTATTGTTGTTTTTTCTTGTTAGATTGTAAAAATTGCTCATTCTGAGCTAAGATGGCATCATAGCCTTCTAGCTTCATAATCCTTACTCTCATTTGTGATACTGGAGCATTATCAAACTCCTGAGATGCTAGAGATTCTAGCAATTCCAAAGCTTCTTCTGGAGTTTTTGTTTTCAAAGATCCTCCTGCTGCAGCATTCACTAAGGTTCTGGTGTTCGGCGTCATTCCTTGAAAGAAAATTCGCGCTTTATCCCAATCTTCAATACCGTGCTGTGGACATTTCCTGAGTAGTCCCTTGAACCTTTCCCATGCTTCTTATAAAGATTCACTTTCTTTTTGTTCAAAAGAAGTGATATCCGCCTTGAGCTTCGCCATTTTCGAAGATGAGAAAAATCTGGCCAAGAACTTTGTAGCTAAGTCATCCCAGCTTGTGATACTTCCTTGAGGTAGTGACTGAAGCCAAGCTCCTGCTTCTTCCTTCAGTGATCATGGAAAAAGTATGAGCAAGATTGCGTCACGAGAGACTTCGTTCATCTTCAGTGTATTATAGTAAAATAGGAAATCTTCAAGATGACTATAGGGGTCTTCTGTGCTTCCTCCGGCAAATTGATCTTTTTGAATCAGCTGCAATAATGCAGGCTTGAGTTCAAAATTGTTAGCATCCACGTTTGGTCTAACAATGCTCGCCGTCTGTGGAACTCGAGCAGGAGTCATGTAATCTCCCAACGTTCTCGGAGGTGGTGGAGGTCCATTGTTGTCTCCCATTGCTTCTTCTCTTGGTTCTATTGAGCTTGAAGCTTCTTTTTCTTTTTGCTTTCTTTCTTTAGCGATCTTTCTGTTTCTTCTTGCTGTTTTCTCTATCTCCGGATCGAATTGCAAGGAATTGGTGTCAACGGTACCTCGCATAAACCAGAAAATAGATTATAAAAAATAAAAACTGAATTTAAATAACATAAAATAAGGTCCAATCTAAAGAATTAATAGCTACTATTAATGTTGAAGTCATAATCCCCGACAACGGCGCCAAAAACTTGTTGGGACTCAAGGCAAGTGCAACGATCGTACAAGTAATATAATGATTGAATAAGAGATCGTTCCCACGAGGATTATACTCAAGCACTAATTCACTATTGCAACTTAAGTTGGACAAGCGAAATTGTATTTGAAACAGGATTTGAATTGAAATTTAAATATTAAAACTAATTAATTGCAATTATTAAAAGCAAGAATTTAAAGATTTGATTTAACTAATATAAAAGAACGTAGCTAGGGTTTCGATTTCCTTCAATCTCTCTATTACGTTTGAATCCTTTGTTTACGTTAGTCGTCCTTAATATCAATCTAATTAATTCTTTCTTATGTAATTAGGACTCAATCCCTTGTTACCCTAAACCTTTACAATCTTGCAAGAACCCTAGTTCCCCGGTTATTCCCCAAGAAGGTAAGCATTAAGTTCAAGAATCATAAAGATTACGCAAACCATATGTCTATCCCTAGAATCATAAATTTTACGATGAAATTATCAAATGTGGATCACACATCAACATTCCTATTGTCATGCATTTAAGATCAATATACAAGATTCAAGCTCATATAAAGCATTAAAAAGAGATAATTTTATTCATGGTAGAAAGGAAAATTAACATAACGAATTGTTCAAAGCATAATAAAGATCTTGAATTCCATCTAACCCTAACTACTAAAAGAACTAGCCAGACATAGCAATATCAAGAACGAAAGAAAATAATAAAGCTTCCCCAAACTCCATAGATGATTGGTGAATCTTTAATATCCCCAGTGCAGACTTGATGTTGATCCATCTCCGCCGCTCACGAACATGAACTGTGGATTTCTCTGCGTTCCCTCTGCCTCCGAGTACAAAGAACTCTTCTTGAATGTGAAAAACTTAATTCTGACCCCAAGATGTCTTTTTAATGGCCAAGAATCGTGCCCTAAGTGAATAACTTGAATTGGGTCTAACTTGGGTTTATGGGGCGCTTAAGCTTCCTAATTTACGAATTAAAAATCAATGTTCGCGCTTAAGCTTGCTGAAGATTGCATGGAATTTTCACGTAGCGCGCTTAAGCGCGCTCTTCGAGCTGGAACTTCTTGTTTGCAGCGCACTTAAGCCCTTAGTTGGGGGCTTAAGCTCCCTAAGGCCGAGCAGATTTGCGTATTTAGGAGGCTTTAGCTTCCTAATGGGAGCTTAAGCCTTCATTGGCAGAGGCCATTTGCTAATTTTGGAGGCTTTAGCTTCGAATTTGGGGGCTTAAGACCCCCCTCTCTAACAACTTGAGAATCTTGATAAGATCTTCAAATCTTTTTGTTTTGCTCTCCATCTATCCATATCTTCATATTTGTTTCCTTTTGTCATCAAATCCCTTCAAAATAGCAAATGTAGTTTAATTAATTCATAATCAGATAATGTTCATGATTTTATGTTAAAACCCTAGTTTTGACTTGTTCAACTTGATAATTTATATTAATTTTACCTATAAAAACAAGATAAACTAGAGGATTATCAGCCAACATAGTGTTAATTTCCAAAATATTTTCCGAATTTTTTTTTTTATTTTTCTTTAGCATCATAATGCTACCACAACACCTTTTTAGGTCCCACTTTTCATCCAACACCATCATAACACCATTTTGCCCATTTATTCCCTTCTAGGTTCAATGTGTATTCTAACACAATCCAAGTATTTTTCCATTTATTTTCTATGCATCCACTCATCATACCACACCTCTAAACACCATATAGCAACACAATACATCAATTAAATAATTTCGCAGCATCACACCTCAATTACCCTCTCTTGGCTGAATTGTCCATAGCCACCCTCCAAGGGTTATTCCATTTAATTCAAGTACTCCACACATCATACAATCCTACTATTAACTCCTAGAAACATCCAACAATTCAATTACACAATCCTACAACACATCAATTTCAACAATTCATGAAACCATGCTCAAATTTCACTAAGTTAAATTCCCAAATTCACCTTTAATTTTTATGACATTTATCACTCCAACACATCATTCTAAGTCACTTTCATCTAATGCACAATTTCAATTTGAGCTCTCTAACTACACCAATCATACAATTTAGCTCTAGGTCACAAATCATAAATTTCATGAATCAAACAATGGAAAGTGTTAACACTTACTCAAAAGCTTGGCCTAGGACTCCTCCACAACATATCCAAGCATTGGAGAACCAAACAACTCCAAGAGTGCAAATCAACACCTATAGGTCGCGGGTTTGGGGGGGATTTTCTCAAAATCTAGGGAGTTTCATGGCTCAAGACTACCTTGGTTGTGTTTGGATGGTGATTTTCAACAAGTTTCATGACAAACTTTTCTTGATTTGATGATGTTTTGATGGAGTTAGAAGAGAAAGAAACTTCAAAGGGATTTGGCCATGGAGGATGGGGTAGCGCGGGTTTGAGAGAGAGAGAGAGAAGGTGTGATGGTGATGATGAATAGTGGCATGACATGTGGACTTAAGTTACTTAAGTGAGGTGGGCCTCACCGCCACCTCACGCGATTTCAAACTAATTCAAAACTCTCTCTGATTCCACTAAACGTCCATAATTTCATAACCAATTTAGAAACTCTAATTTTTAACATTAACCATTGTCCTTTAATTGCCCTTGATCAGACGAATTCAAAGTTTTCCGGTCGTTCGGAGAAATTGCAGTTTTAAGCGGTTATGCGCACTGTGGCACGCTCCCCCAAACTTACTAATTTCCATCAATTTTCACCATAAATCATATTTCCTAGTCCACTTTACCATTTATAACTTATATCCAAACCTAGAGCTCAAAATTCAATTGGCACTCTTTACGATGCAACTATACCGCCGTTCTTTTACCCGGTAAAAAAACTATTCACCGAATTTTCTGAAACTTGCCTAACGACTCAATTTTTCGTTCTGAATCCATTTTCAGAGTTATTTTTATCATTTGAGACCTCCTACTCAATTTCACCTTCCTAGGGATACTTGTTTGGCTAATTACCAATTTACTCTTCCTTTGTATTTTGACCTAATTTTCAAGATTTTCACTAATTCTTCCCTTTAATCCAATTTTAATATATTAATATGAGTTTTAAAAATGTGAGGTGCTATACCAGCGAGCAACAAACTGACAACCCTTTTTCACATATTTTCCCCTCTTCACTCAATTCAACACTTAGCATTTTATTTTAACAATCTCATGAAATTCTTGTATAATTCATTTTTATTCCATGATTGGCCCACAATTATTATTCGCATATTAGGGTTCTTACATCTACTAGTTTGACCTTGTGCACATTAAATTTCTTGAGAATTTTTTCATATACTTCTTCTTGGATAGTCATAGCAACTTCTTAGAGTAATCTCGGATAGCTTTCATCCCAATGATTTACTTTATCGAGTCGAGATCTTTCATAGCGAAAAAATTGTTCAATGCTTCTTGACCATTAGCATATTTTTAACATATAGCAAAAGTATGATGAAATCATCACTAGCATACTTCTTGATGAACACACAGTGATGACCTTAAGAATATGTTTGATTCTTTTTTTAAGTTAAAGTTAGAAAAGAAAAAGGCTTAAAAGAATAAAGGTACAAATTGTTTGGTGATTATTTAAAAAATTTAGCATAAAAGTTACTTTCAAGCTCAAATAAAAAATAAGTTGTTTTGTAAAAGAAATTTTCATAAGATCTGTTTCTAAGTAAAACTATCTTAAATGATATTAGAAAATATCTATTATTTAGTAAACATAAATATAGTGAGAAGCAAAAGCCAAATGTTTTAAAGATAAAGATTTCAAACAAAAAATAGATCCAAGAGTCATTTTTTTATTAAAAGAGAGTTTCATTCAAAAATATGTACGCAATAATATTTGGACGCATCAAATCCAATTAATACACATGATTACTCTTTCTCGGTCACTTTTTCAACATTTTGTTAGACAGGGGAGATCGAAAAATTTGTTATTAGGATAGAAGAGAATATTTGTAAATATAAATTTAGAATAAGATTATAATTGAAAAATAAATATGAGGAATCACAAATAAGCTAAATACATCTTTAAAAGAGCTTCTTCCACGAGCTTCTAACTTTATGTATATCTTGAACCCGTTCTATGAGCTCATATCTCAAAAATATAACAGCAAGTGATAGACTAATGAGACAAGGATAATCTCATTATTCTATCACCAAAAGATAAACTACTTATCCTATCCCCCAACAATTACACTCTTATTAGGACCTTACACCTACAGGTAACCTCTTTTGTAAATAAAGGGGTTAAGCATCTTAAGCAGTGGCGAATAGACATTGGTGACTATGTCTACACATCAGACACAAAAATCCTAG